TGGGCATCAATGGAAAGAGAAACTAGAGCTCCTCACCTGTGTTTCAGTATAGAATCAAAGTACGTATTATAGGTTAAAATTCACAATTACATGTTTATGGAATTCGATACGCAACTTAAGAAATATATTTGTCTCGTGTATATTCAACTAGAGAGTCCATACGGTCTAAAATTAAATTTTGTTAAAAGGTAAATGATAAGTGCTTTAACTAGTTATTTCATTTTATTATTATTATTATTATTATTATTATTATTATTATTATTATTATTATTATTATTATTATTATTGGATGATGGGAGAACCCGTAGTCGCTATCTTTTGGGTACACACTGGGTAAACTCTCGGGTTGATGCTGTTAAGAAATATAGGATTATTTATTATTTATTAAGGGTAGAATAGCCCTTTTTAATTTCCTTTGTTTAACCTATATATATTCTCTTTGTATTTTGGTTAAACCATCTTTAGCATTCAATTATTTAGGTAGTATCAATGAAACCCTAGCCTCCTCCTTTTTCTTCTTTATTTTCTTTGGATTGTTTAACATGGCATCAGAGCCAGATTTCATGGGACAAAACTTAACCTCAAACACAGCTTTTGCGGATCCAAAAATTATTTCTAGTATTTCTGCAATCTGTTAAATCTGTTATTTTGTTTATTATGGCTACTGAAAGAGACGATTCCCTTCAGTCTGTGAGTGTGAGGTTGGATGAAAAGAATTATTCGTATTGAAGTTACGTGATGAGAAATTTTCTTAAGGGTAAAAAGATGTGGGGATTCATTAGTGGAACTTCTGTGAAACGTGAGAATACCAATGAGGGTTATGCTGCTTTGATAGATGCTTGGGAATCAAACAATTCAAAATTTATTACTTGGATTAACAACTCCGTGGAGCATTCCATAGGTAGAGAGTTGGCGAAGTATGAGACAGCAAAGAAGGTTTGGGATCATCTGCAAAGATTATTCACTCAGTCAAATTTTGCAAAGCAGTATCAATTGAAGAATGATATACGAGCTCTTCATCAGAATAATATGAGTATTCAGGAGTTTTATTCTGCTATGACAGATCTTTGGGATCAATTGGCCCTTACAGAATCGACAGATTAAAGGCATGTGCTGCCTATATTACTCATAGAGAGCAGCAATGGTTGGTACAATTTTTAACGGCACTTCGCAGTGATTTTGAAGGACTCAGAGGTTCAATTTTGCATAGTTCTCCACTTTCTTCTGTTGACTCAGTTGTCAGCGAGTTATTGGCTGAAGAAATACGTTTTAAGTCTTATGCTAAAAATGGAATTCTTTCTGCTTCTAACCGTTCTGTATTAGCAGTGTCTTCTAAGCCATCCTCTAATAATCAAAATAAGCCTTACACAAGGGTTGCCTTTGACAAGTGCAGTTTCTGTAAGCATAAACGTCGTTAGAAGGCTCAGTGTCCTAAGTTGAGATAGTCGAATCAATTACAGCAGCAATCTCAAGCTTGGAAGCCTCACGACCAATCACGATCTAATGCTCATAGACCACCACAATCTAATACTACAGCAATAGCTTCATCAGGTCCTTTCACTGATCCTAGTACTTTGGCTGAGCAATTTAAGAAGTTTCTCTCCTTACAGCCTCAAGCTATGTCTGCTTCTTCCATAGGTCAGTTGCCTCATAGTTCTTCAGGTATGTCACATTCTGTATGGGTCTTGGATTCTGGTGCTTTTCATCATATGTCTCCAGATTCTTCGTCTTTTGCTTCTGTGTCCCCTTCGTCCTCTATTGCTATCATGACTGCTGATGGCACTCCTATGCCATTAGCAGGTGTTGGTTCTGTTGTCACACCTCACTTGTCCCTCCCTAATGTTTATCATATTCTGAAACTCACATTAAATCTTGCTTCTGTTGGTCAGTTAAGTGATTCTGGTAATTTAGTCACATTTTTCTCTTCTTCTTATTATGTGCAGGATCTGCAGTCTCAGAAGCTGATTGGGACAGGCTGTAGGAAGGGTGGACTATATATTTTAGATGAGCTAAAAGTGCCAGTTACTGCTGCCGCTACTAGTGTTGATTTGTCTTTGTTTCGTTTGAGTCCTTCTTCTTCTAGTTTTTATTTATGGCATTCTTGTCTAGGTCATGTTTCGTCATCTCGTTTGAGATTTTTAGCTTCTACAGGGGCTTTAGGAAATTTACACACTTGTGATATTTCTGATTGTAGTGGATGCAAACTGGCAAAATTTTCAACTTTATCTTTTAATCGAAGTATTTCTGTTTCTTCTTCTCCATTTGATTTGATTCATTCTGATATATGGGGGCCTTCTCCTGTTGCCACAAAAGCAGGGTCTCGATATATGTTTCTTTTATTGATGATCACACTCGTTATTGTTGGGTTTATTTAATGAAACATCGTTCTGAATTTTTTGAGATATATTTAGCCTTTCGTGCTCTTGTTAAAACTCACATTCCACTGTTATCAAATGTTTTAGGTGTGATTTGGGTGGAGAATACACTTCTAATAAATTTTGTGAACTGCTTGCTTTATATGGAACTATTCACCAAACTTCGTGTACAGATACTTCTGAGCAAAATGGTGTTGCTGAAAGAAAACATAGGCACATTGTTGAAACTGCTCGTTCTCTCTTGTTGTCTGCATCTTTCCCTAGTGTGTTTTGGGGTAAAGCTGTTCTTACTGTTGTAGGTTTGATTAATACAATTCCATCTTCTCATATTTCAGGGTTTTCTCCTTTCGAAGAGTTGTATGGGTATACCCCTAATTATTCTCTCTTTAGAGTTTTTGGTTGTACTTATTTTGTTCTTCGTCCTCATGTAGAACACAACAAGTTGTCATCTTGATCTGCTATTTGTGTCTTTCTTGGTTATGGTGAAGGTAAAAAGGGGTATCGTTGTTTTGATCCAATAACTCAGAAACTTTATGTTTTTCGTCATGTTGTTTTTCTCGAGCATATACCTTTCTTTTCTATTTCATCCACTACTCATAGTCTGACTAGATCTGATCTTATTCGTATAGATTCTTTTTCTGACAATCCTGATAGTTTGTCTTCTCCAGAGCCTACTACTTCAAATGTCCATTCTCATGTTCCTACCCCGTTGTCTTTACAACCAACTCGTACTAATCATTCCGCAGGTACTGACACTTTACTCTCCGACACACCTAAAGCGTCATCTTCTCCTACAATCCCTCAAGCCGTCTGAGATTGTGGATCCGCCTCTACGTCAATCTATACGCATTCGTAAGTCTACAAAGTTACCAAATTTTTCTTATTCTTGTTATTCTTCATCCTTTTCTACCTTTTTAGCTTCTATTCATTGTCTCTCTGAGCCCTCTTCCTTTAAAGAGGCAATTCTTGATCCTCTTTGGCAGCAAACTATGGATGAGGAACTTTCTGCTTTGTATAAGACTGGTACTTGGGATTTGGTTCCTTTACCTTCTGGTAAGAGTGTTGTTGGTTGTCGTTAGGTGTATAAGATCAAGACTAATTCTGATGGGTCAATTGAGCGATACAAAGCTAGGTTGGTTGCAAAGGGATACTCTCAACAGTATGGTATGGATTATGAGAAGACATTTGCTCCTGTTGTAAAAATGACTACTACTCGTACTCTTATTATAGTAGCTTCGGTTCGTCAGTGGCGTATCTCTCAACTTGATGTTAAAAATGCCTTCCTGAATGGAGATCTTCAAGAAGAGGTTTATATGGCACCCCCTCCTGGTATCTCACATGATTCTGGGTATGTTTGCAAGCTCAAGAAAGCATTGTATGGTCTCAAACAAGCACCTCGTGCTTAGTTTGAGAAGTTTTCTGTTGTGATCTCTTCCCTTGGATTTGCTTCTAGTAGTCATGATTTTGCTCTTTTTGTTAAGAGCACTGAAGTAGGTCGTATCATTCTATCTTTATATATTGATGACATGATTATTGCTGGTGATGATATTGATGGTATTTCAGTTTTGAAGACAGAGTTAGCTAGACAGTTTGAAATGAAAGATTTGGGTTCTCTACGATATTTCTTAGGTATTGAGGTAGCCTTCTCACGCAGAGGTTATCTTCTTTCTCATTCGAAATATGTTGCAGATATTCTTGAGCGGGCAAGACTTACTGATAATAAGATTGTTGATACTCCAATTGAGGTTAACGCGAAGTATTCTTCTTCTGACGGTTTACCTTTGTCAGATCCTACTTTATACCGTACTATTGTTGGGAGCTCGGTATATCTCACTATTACTCGTCCAGATATTGCATATGATGTTCATATTGTTAGTTAGTTTGTTGCTTCTCCCACTACAGTTCATTGGGCAGCTGTTCTTCGCATTTTGTGATATCTTCGGGGTACAGTCTTTCAGAGTTTGTTACTTCCATCCACCTCCTCCTTGGAGCTGCGTGCATACTCTGATGCTGATCATGGCAGTGATCCCACAGATCGCAAGTCTGTTACTGGTTTCTGTATCTTTTTCGGTGATTCTCTTATTTCTTGGAAAAGCAAGAAACAATCTATTGTTTCTCAATCTTTCACCGAAGCAGAATATCGTGCTATGGCATCTACTACTAAAGAGATTGTTTGGTTACGTTGGTTACTTGCAGATATGGGAGTTTTTCTTTCTCATCCCATTCCTATTTATTGCGACAATGAAAGTTCTATTCAGATTGCTCACAACTCGATTTTTCACGAACGAACTAAGCACATTGAGATTGATTATCATCTTACTCGTCATCATCTCAAGCATGGCACAATTACTTTGCCCTTTGTTTCTTCTTCTTTGCAGCTTGCAGATTTTTTTACCAAGTTGCATTCTATTTCTCGTTTTCGTTTTCTAGTTGGCAAACTCTCAATGCTTGTAGCTGCCGCATCATGAGTTTGAGGGGAGATGTTAAGAAATATAGGATTATTTATTATTTATTACGGGTAGAGTAGTCCTTTTTAGTTTCCTTTGTTTAGCCTATATATATTCTTTTTGTATTTAGGTTAAACCATCTTTAGCATTCAATTATTTACGTAGTATCAATGAAACTCTAGCCTCCTCCTTTTTCTTCTTTATTTTCTTTAGATTGTTTAACAGACGCAATAGTCTGCAAACCACGCCAACCAGTTAAATCGCATTAGGCAAGCTCGATGCGACAGGCTCGACTGAAAAAGTATTGGTAGGAGGAATCGAACTCTTGACCAAAGGTCTTTGCACTCACCTACTCCACTAACTCGGCAACTCCATGAGGGGCTTTAACTAGTTATTTCCTTATTAGAACATGTGACGGTTTTTTAATTTTTTATTTATTATTATTTTTTTTCAGTTCCCTTTGTTAAAATTAGGTTGACTGAACATATTTTCCATTATAATACTTTTTCAATATACATGGAGTTCTCATTTAAAGGAGTTTTTAATTAGTTGAGATTGTCATATTCGACATTAATTGGCTCTTAAGTTATTGGTGTTAAATTGCTATTATTGTTAGTTAGGACAAAAACAAAAGTTGGGATTTCGATATTGGACCTTTAAAATCAGATATGGATTCCATGAAGACTTGAAAACAAAGTTAACCATAAATTAAGCATCTGATAAAGTTCGTTTATTTTTGACACCGTCCTATGGACAAGACGGGACAGACCATAATAAAGTATGTTTTATTGTTTTAATGACGTTGCATGGACAGACACATAAACGAAGTATAGGGCTTTGATTGGTTGGAACTCTAAGAACCTTATTTTTTATTGTTCGTGCAACTAAAAAATGTAATTTTCAGAAAGTAAAAAAGTTGAAGTCAATAAGTCATGCATAGTGACACATTGTCAATACCATGTTAGAAAAATATAATATTTTTAGTACGAACTCTATTGTTTAAACCCTCAAAGAAGGCTGACAGTTTAATCCCTTATTTTCTAATTATGCATTAGGCACTCTTCTTAATATCATAGCCACAATTTCATTATGAATTCATGATAATGGTTTATCACTTTAAAGATCACCGTTTTTTATGTATAATGATATCATCAGCCATTAGACAGAACTGTTAATGATTGTATACCCGATAAATCCCTCCAATCCCGTATAAACCAACATCTGCTTTTATTTCTTAACAATTTTAGAGAGTATACATTAATTTCTCGAATAATTTCTTCCATATGAGCAAGTTATGCTCATGTTTATGGGCAGCAGGAAAACCACAACGAAAAACTGAAGAGGAGGAAGCAACGGGAAATTAGGACAAATATCAAAGCTGCAGGCTGCGATGTAGAAAAACTATTCTGAATGCACTTGTTTACGGTAGGGTTTTTCTCGAACCATTTTAAACGGTTTGATTTAAAAATATATGATAAAACTATCTAAGCAAGAGTTTTATACTCTAAGGTCAGACTCACAATTACAATCTTATCCTCCAAAATAAGATTTGACTATTTAATTTTTATCTAAACAAGAGCATTTTAGTCAGTTGTTACTTACCAATAATTACTCTGATAAATCAGTCAATCTATCATGAGATTTCTCGTTCAGACGTTCATAATTCATACACCAACCCTCTTCATGCCCAAAAAGTATTGTAAAACCAAAAATATTGAAACGATAGGGACGATTTATACAATAAAAACAAGCGATAGGAACATTTTGCAACAATTACCCATAATCTTTGCTTAATCATTCTTTCTATAGTTATTGTAGCCCTAAAGATAAGGTCAACTCTTATATTGAATTCATAAATAGAAAAGTACTGAACAAAATGCACAATGGCAATTTAAATAACAAATTTAAATCTTATATTCCGTCACACAAACGTCCCAATTTCTTTAATGAGGTATTGACTATGTGCACATTGCCCACAAACCTATTAACTTCTTCAACTTATTCACTTTCTGAAAATGGCATTTTTTGATTCCACCAACAATGAAAGATAAAGTTCCTTGAATATAAGAATGCAAACCAATCAAAACCCAATTCCCCATTTTCAATTCACATGTGTCTGTCCATGCACAACATTAAAACAAACAATATTATACTGGTCTGTTATATCCATTATATAGTGTTTAAAAATTCATATTTTATTAATTACTTAAATAATTATGTTGTTAACTTTGTACATATGGACAAGTAATTCTTCTTTAGTCAGATTCTTGAATTTTAATTTTATCTCGAAGTCGGTCCATAAGCGTATAAAAAGATTATAAATATCCAATAAAAAATATATTTTTTTATCAAATTTAACTTTCAAGATTGCATCACAAGCAAACGTCCTTCATCAAATTATAAAGAGTAAGATCAAGTAAAACTATAACAAGATCAAAATCATTTTCTTACTTTAGACAGTGACTCATTACAATCCCAATCTATGCAGAAAATTATGGGATTCAAAACAAGATTTAAATGATGTACACACTTCCTCTCTATCAGTTTAACCTCCGTTTGACAACCAATTTATAAATTCACACAAAAATTGAAAATTAATTTCAACAAATCCTAAATCGTAAAAAGTAGTATTGCAGTCATGCTCTGTACTTAACCTTGTGGATACACAAGATCAATCTATTGGATGTATGCGAAAATCCGAAAGAAAGGTGCGAGTCCCAATCAATTGAACAGCTCGAAGGATAGAATGATGGTAATTGGTAAATTCTCGTGGTGGAGTCTCCATGTTAATGCAGGACTAGGGTAAAGTCTAAACAACAGAAAATGGTCATCTTTAAAGGTAGCTAAACCTTTATCATAAACAAATTGTGGTTATGATATTGGGATGAGTGATTAATGCATAATTTGAAATTAATGGAGTTAGGTGTCAGCCTTCTTTAATTTGAGGGTATGTTAATTAAGTGGAGTGCTGGTGAAGTAATGATGTCCAACGGGACATCTCTCACAAATTTTTGTGTAAAGTTTAAATGTACTAAAAGTCGTTCTCCTCTTTTAGGATGGACATCATTTTGAATCTTTAGGCTAAATGAACAAGATGTGGTACTATGCCCCTGATTGGGATCCTTTTAAATCAAAAGGTATTTTTCCCTCTTTTCTTTTGAACAACATATTCTCAAATAAAATAATATTCACATAAATCCGAAAATCTTTAGGCTAAGTGAACAAGATGTTTACTATCCTTTACCAAAAAAAAAATAATAATAATAATAAGGATGAAATCCGAGAAAAATGTTATTATTCTTTGTAAAATGATGGATGGAAATAATTTTATTTATTTTTATTTTACTTTTTTTGATTGTGGGAACACAAAGGGTATCACGTACATGGAAGACACGATTAGACGATGCAAATGATAAAGAACCGATATGAGATACAGGCAGTCCTGATCCAAGACCAACCTCATTGGTACCATCACATTCAGAATGAATGAACACATTTAAGAGATCAATCGTCGTGTTTTGGGATGTTTTAGAGTCAACAAGCCACTTTTGAAATTTTTTTCCTTGTGAGGTGGTTGCATAGTTGGATGTAGCTTTAGCTGAATTCATCTTTGGGCATGCTTTGGTCTTATAGCCTACTTGATCACACCATTGGCACTTGGGCTTACATTTGCGATAGCCCATTTCTCTTGATGTTGCCATGGCCTTTGCTAGAAGAGGATCTATGATTTTGCTTGTTCGTTCTAGAGAACCCTAGTTATCACTGATTGTAATTAGCAGTTGCAAGCATGTTCGACCCTGATTGAGTCTCTACCCGGCGAAGGTAGTTTGCATGACCTACCAGAAGATCATGAATTTCTTTAAACTTAAGAGAAATTTTACAAGCATGAATTGGGGTTACAATTTCTCTAAACTCAAGACCCAATCCATTGAGGATATACTGGGTTAAATCATCATCCGATACTGGATGATCAATAATTATTTTGATAGTTTGGAAAAACTTCATGACAGAGGGATTGTCGCGAGTGCTCAAGGTATGGTCCTCCTTCAATTGCATAGCACGTGTTCATGATTTTGTCATAGAATTTGGAAGAGCCAATCCTAAAAGCTAGCTATTGAGGTTTAAGAACTCAAGCCTATATAAACCGTACAAAGGAAATCCATACTTCCGATGTGGGATTCAGGTGCCCAAACACCCCAATGAAAACCACCATGCTTCCGACTCGATGTCCACGTGAGTAGATGCCCATACACCCTAAATGGTAACCGAGACCAGAAGACATGATGTCGGCTCTAATACTATTTGTTATGGTTGGAGCTGAACTTCAACCAAAACTAGCTAAATTCCACACAAAATCAACACACAATTTAAGATACCATGTAGGGATTTAATACCCATATGGGATTTCATCATTTGACTAAAATTACATAGAAACAATGTAATGTAAATTGTATTACATTGATTGATAAGTTCTATTACAATGTAAGGATTACAAGCAAAAGACAAATATAAAAAAGAAGAGATAGATCAGTGGAGGAGCAAAGACAGAAAAGTGAAGAAAAATTTAGAGAAGGAAGAAGAGAGCAAGAAGAACAGAGAAAGAAAAAGAAGAGGAAAAGCGGAATCCAGGAGAAACAGGGAAGAAGCAGAAGAAGAAAGAGAAGATGCTTACCAAAAGGGAGAAACGCATAGAACAGCGAAGAAAGAAGAACACAAGAGGGGGAGGAGAAGACGATTGTGGGAAGCAAAGCCACGATTCAATTCCACAACACTCATCGTCTTTAAAGCAAAACCATAGGTAGAACAAAATAATGCTAAAGGGCTTGGGCTAGCCTGCTAATAAAATAGCCCAATTTGATAAAATAACAGTACTGTAGTTAACTATAACATTTTTGGTATAGAGTCAGGTAAGGGTTATCCAGGTTTCGTGGGATGTTTTGCAGGGTGCAAGGAAAGGGATAATGGTTGTGAAAGTGGAGGCAAGGATAGCATAAAGGGTTAACTTGGTGAACTCAGTGGGAGTTCATGACTTTTGAGGTGGTGGCATTTGCTGCATCAATGGCTGGATATTTTTGGATTCCAATGACGAAATCGATGAGATCACAGCCAATTAACTGTGCTTCGAATTGGGCTCTCCATTCAGAAAAGGTAGCTAGGGTAAATGTTGTAAGATTTTGTTTCGCAAGTGTACGATCCGTAACAAGTAATAGTGGACCTAGGAGTCCGGTTATCGATCCCACGAGGACTATTTTGTAGCACTTAATTTAATCTTTCTTTAACTACTATTTGACGAATGTAAATAAAAAACAATGATTAAATATGATTTTTATTCTAAAGACTTAAAAATGTGATTGGATTCAATGAAAAGTGATTGAGAATTCAAACAATAAATGGAATTTAGGGCGGAACAATTTCACCTATTGGTCACCTTTACTTCATAAATCAAGATTCATAAAACCTAAGGTAGTGTTCGGTCGAATTCTTCTATTGTATTCAACTTACCCCTCTCGAGTTCTCATTGAGCCTACTTAATTAGTTTAATTTCATATCTCTATGCAAATTAAATTTAATTAAACGAAACATTGGTTCTAAGAATTCACACCCGGCCGCAGCAATCAATATAAGTATCTCTACACATTATATCAATTTACCGGATTTTAACATGTAGTCTAAACAAATAATCCGCATCTCTACGCAATCATTGTTCACAAATCATCTAATTAGTGATCAAATAATTAAATGTATTAAGAACAATATTAAAATCAACACATGAAATAAAAAAGTACTAGAATCTCAATTGCATGAAATAAAGGGTTCCAAAAGATTACATTGTTCGCCCTAACATGAAATTTAACTACTCATAATAATGGAAGAAAAATAGGAGATTGTCTTAGAATACATCACCAAGTTTGAAATAAAGATGTGGAAGAAAAAGTGGAATTCTTGCACCAAAATCTCCTTCCTCTTCCAATGAGTGCTTCCAATCTTCAATTCTTGGTGTTAATCTTCTTAAATTTCTCCTTTGAATCTCCCTTCTTGTTGTTTTTCTCTCCAATATGTCAAGAATGCGTGGCTTGATCCCAGAGATTTTTAGTGTGCGGCTCCCCCCCATTTAGGTCTTCAATCTTGTGTTTTTATTATCTTGGAGTTTTGGGAAAGATTTGGAGATGAGTTGGGCCGAAAAAGAATGGTAAAAACCTAAAAAAATTACTCTCGCACGGCGGCGCCTAGGCCCTGACTTTCTGTCAAAATTTCAGCATCATGGCGCCTAGGAGTTGAGGGATAGCGCCTGGGCGCTGAGGACTACTTCGGTTGCACTGGACAGATTTCAGTATTTTTATCATAACTTTTTCGTTCGATATCCGATTGAAGTGATTCAAGATTTTTTGGAAAGATAATTCAAAGGACTACAATTTTGCTTCAGGAATCATTCTCCAATTCGATCGTTTTCTATGTCAAAAATGAGTCTAAATGTGAGACAAAAACTCCGGCGCAAAACTTTTTGGTTGGAAAATGATTTATGATCATATCTTGACTAAATTTGATCCCTTTGACACCTTCCTTTGTCCAATTGGCTTCTAGAACTCTCGGATATTCATTTCAAGTTTCGACATGACTTTTGATTAATTGCATTTTAATCCTCGAACTTTGGATCTCTTACGTTTTGGTCATTTCATCCAATTTCGCTAGCTTTTGCCTATTTCCTTCATTTGCCCTCTTTTAGCTCTAGTTTTCTCCATTTCCATCAATCTACAAAACAACACCAAAATCACTTGTTAGCACATCTAAAATACTCTCCAAGATAGCAAAATCATGAAATTAATGGCATAATATAATGAGCATAAATCACTCATCAGTAAATTTTTCACTTATGTTGGTTGCAGCGTTGATGGTGATGATAGGAGCATCTAGCTAGTTGCAGGGATGGTGATCATTTGAGGAATTGAAGGATATGTAACTCATTATAGGTTTGTTCTGATACCATAAAGAGGATTTGCACTACTAAGGTTTTGAAGATTTTAATCCACACATTTTCATTTCTATACGTATACTCTAATTATGTACAATCGGAGAGCATGAATTATGGAATACAAATAATGCAACTGAATATTTATAGCCTAATTACAATGATATTAATAGAGAATAAAAAACTGTTGTTGAAATCAAGTTAAACGCAAAGTCAGAATTTTGATTATTTTTGCATAAATTGATCCCATATTTTCAGCATCTTCCTTGATAATCCCTTGTTCGGGCTCCATTAAAATCATAATATATCTTTTTCTCTCTTCTTTTCAACCACGTATTCTCCCATAAAATAATATTACATATAAATATAAAATTTTCTTTTTAGCCACACATTTTTCAAAAATCACTATTCCAAAATATATTTTTTCCCAAAACTTAGATTTATCCCTTGTTTGAGCCACATCGTTTTCATAAGATTGCATTTTTGAATAGTATATTGATGGAAAATGTGTTGTTAAAAAATAAGAAAAAATTTGAATTTACGTGTAATATTATTTTATTGAATATTATGTGATTAAAATGATGTCAAATTACTGTTAAAGAATGTATTTTTTTTAAAAGAATATGGGTCAAATAGGACCTTGATAAAGCCCAAACAAGGGCTATATATAAACAAATAGGAGTAACATGTATGTCACCTACTCTCAAAAGT